TTAGATCCCATTTGTCAATTTTGGCTTTTGTTACCGTTGCTTTTGGTGTTTTAGACATGAAGTCCTTGCCCATGCCTATGTCCTGAATGGTATTACCTAGGTTTTCTTTATTTTTTTTTTAATTTAACATTTGCATAGCAGCTACTTTGTGCCAGGCACTGTTCTAAGCTGTTTTCAAACTGTAACTTGTTACTGCTCACTACAGCTCTATGATATCAATAATATTATTATCTCTGTCTTGCAAATGAGGCTACTGAGGCACAGAGAGGTTAAACAATTTGGCCTAGGTCACATAGCTGGCTTCATACATTCTGGCTTCAGCCCTGTGTTCTAACCACTGTACTGTACTGCTGCTTGAGTTTATTGTGCTGAACCCATTGTATTTTAGTGAGGATAGTACTGCAGTAAGTATGTCACTAAAGTATTATCCATGTGATAGGACTGTGGGTCAACCAATTGTTACAATCTACACTTTAGCCTATGTATAATATAATACTTGATTTTTAAAATTCTAGCATCATATTCCTAATCCTTGCTCAGCTTGATCCCAAAGTATTTTCCACATTTTTTTTTGGCCAGTTATTCCATATTATTCCATTTTTATCAATAGTGATATCCTTATTAAATTTCACTTCACCGGATTATTACACTTATGTTGATGCTCAATCACATCTCATTTGAGAATTGTCGTCAGTAAATTTAATAGCCCTGTTTTCTGTTCTGTCACCTGGGCGATTCATAAAAACGTTTACCAGATTAATTCCTGTGGTCTTTCAGATGATGTTCCTCCCCAGCTGGGTACCTCAGTAATATCCTTTTTTTCAGTGTACCCATCAAGTGGTTACATTATCCTGGCATCTAATTTGTGAGTTATGGAGTTGATGAGTCAGAGCTACAGACTCCTGAAGCTGGAGATACCAGCAAGTGGTGTGCTCAGGGCTGTTTTGGAAAAGAAGACTGGAGACAGGATTCTATGGGTTTCTTCATCTTTATTTTCTAAATCACAAGCTTAAGGAGCTTGAGAACCACTGAGATGCAATGTGTATTTTCTACTTAGTTTTGTTATGTCCCTTGCCACTACAGAACAGCTACATTCCTTTCAAGTGTTATTTACTTTTTTAGTTTGAGAAAAACGTTAAAAATCCAAAAAATGTAAATACAAATATATAACACATATCCAAATTTATCACCCAGATTTAACAACTGTTCATATTTTTCCAAATTTGACTCTACTCTTCCTTTTGCAGAAATAAAACACTGTAATTATAACTGAGGTCTCCTTTAGCCACCACTTCCAGTCTGGTCTCC